AGAGCAGCAGCAGCAGCAGCAGCAGCAGCAGCAGCAGCAGCAGCAGCAGCAGCGGCAGCAGCAGCAGCAGCAGCGGCAGCAGCAGCAGCAGCAGCAGCAGCAGCAGAGGCAGGAGCAGCAGCAGCAGCAGCAGCAGCAGAGGCAGGAGCAGGAGAAGGAGCAGGAGCAGGAGCAGGGGCAGGGGCAGGAGCAGGAGCAGGAGCAAAGCAAGCGTATGAGCTGGAGCAGAAGCAAGAGGGGAAGCGGGAGGGGAAGCGTGAGCGTGAGTAGGAGTAGGAGTAGGTGTAGGTGTAGGAGTAGGAGTAGGAGTAGGAGTGGGAGTGGGAGGAGTCGGGAGGTTCAGGAGCACGATCAAGAGGAGAAGGAGCAGGATCAAGAGGAAAAGGAGCAGGAGCAGCATCAACGACCGGTCTTTCTTCTCGGCAGGAGGTGGAGGAAGGTTTCAACAGCAAGAGAGAAGGAGCCGCAAGCGAAGCAGTAGTAGGCACAAAAGCCATCGGAGCTGAAGGCCTCCTCTGAATCAAGCTCCTGCCATTCCATCCTTCATTCTCCGTTCTCGTCCTCTTCCTCTCCCTCGTCCTCGTCCTCTTCCTCGTCCTCGTCCTCCTCTTCCTCTTCCTCGTCCTCCTCGTCCTCGTCCTCGTCTTCCTCCGCGTCCTCGATCTTTGCCACCCCCAGCTTCCCCTCCACCTCCTTCCTCTTCCGCTTCTTGTCCTGCTTCACCCGCCTGTAACTTCCTCGTCCCGCGTCTTAACTCACCTTGACCGACTTCTTCCTCTTCCTCTCCTCCTCCGCCTCCTCACCCTGCTCGCATCGTTCAGCTCTCCTCTCAATCATCGTCGTTCGGCGCTCTCCCTCACCTTGCTTCGGCTCGGATGCTGATCAGTTGCTGATGGCATCCCGGGATGACCGTCACGAGTAAGCAGAGCGCTCGAGGTCATCCTGTAGCAAGTTCAACGTCTTCGATCTTGTTCTGCTCTTCCTCCTGCTCCTACTCCTACTCCTGCTCCTGCTCCTGCTCCTGCTCCTACTCCTGCTCCTGATCCTGCTCCTGCTCCTACTCCTGCTCCTGCTCCTGCTCCTGCTCCTACTCCTGCTCGTGCTCCTACTCCTGCTACACCTCTTTTCTCATGCTCCTGCTCCTGCTCCTGCTCCTGCTCTCTCTCCTCGCTCTCTCTCTCCTCGCT